TATTAATGGTACCACTATTCATCTCCAAACCTTAGTAAGTTGTGAAAACTGACATGTTTGAACGCTTTACTTTAATTTACAGATCTACCGTAATACTGCTAAACGCTCATTTGCGACAACATTCGCAGAAGAATTATTCCAATCCGGCATTATACCTTCGGATTCAGACTTTAGAATTTTCAAAAATTTCGGACATATACCGGGTAAGTACACACATAAGTATGACATAGTTACAAAAGGCATTAGTGAGACTTTTAAAGATATATATGTAGATTGAAAAAAATTATGAATCAGTAAAAAGAAATTATTCCCCAAAAACTTGTATAGGCTTGGATATTGCACATTTTAAAAATGGCTATGTATACCACACGAAATTCGATAGTATTGATGTTATACCACGTGGAACGCTACAATCTACAGGTGATAATATATTGGCTCTGGCGCGTGCTTTCAGCAATTCTACAGAATTAAAAGATCCAGAGGTAAGTGAAAAAGTAAACCTCCTTACAGTGAATAGATCTTAACCCTTCAGTACTAATGCTATTTTTTTATACGTAGATACTAATTGTTAGACGAATCTGCTAACATATATTTAGCTTTGCTTCTTTTAAGATTTAAAGCATCATAAATATTTTCTAAGTGAAATAAAACAAACGTTATGCCGTTTTGTTATAATTAAAATGTAGAAAATTCAATACGAAAGTATATACCTCCCTAATATCTAACTCCATATTAACTTTGTAAGGAGTTTTATCGACAAAGTTTATTATTATTTAGCCAAATATAACTAATTAATGTATTTTTATTTTCACATTATTTTACTAATTTCTATGAATACACAGAATCATGCCAGTGGCCATGCAATCTTCTATGATTTCCTCGGGCTTTTCATCATTGACTACACCGAAGATACAGGCAAAATTATTAACACAGCGGTTGTTGTTGTTGCTCTAGTACTAGTAGCCATATCCCTATGGTGTATTGCTGCAGATTCTTTCATTTCCATCTGCAGTGTGTTCAAACTCTTCTCGCTGATATTCATTGTACATTTGGTGGGCTGGATATTGGCTCTCGCTTTGCCTTTACTTGTGGCAGTTGCACTCGATAGTGCTGCGAGTCCCATGACTTGGTTTACAAACAAATGGCTAGTTTTGGGCTTATATGCTTGCCCGGCACTCTTCGGATTGAGTGTNCTTAAATTAATTTCGTTCTCTCAAAAGGATAAAGTATCACACCCATATCGCCTTCAACTGGTCTATCACGCGCACACACTAATCCTCTCGGTGGCTTGTATTGCTCTCACATATGTTGGCATACGCAGCTCGTACTTTCTAATGATTTCACTAATCTTCCAAGACATCGCTTTGATAATAAATTTTGTGACCACGCTCTATCGAAGAGGTGAGTTGGCGTTCAATTCAAGATACATTACAACAAATAATGTAATTAGCAAATTTGTTTCAATATTTATCGCACCAACAGCCTATTACTGGTCCATTTTCGTCACACTAAGCCAAATTATTCCCTTCCTCTACTTCACCTCTATTTTTAATGCTTTGCTTACGGGCTTTATTCCTATGATGGGCCGATTTGGTACCGCGACTAATCCGGATTTGATTGTCGGTCTGCTAACAACTTTAGGAACCCTGTTGGCCATGGGTTATTTGGTAAGTTTTACAGCATGTTGAAATTGTCGGTGTAATATACATACAAACGTACATACATCTCTCTGGTTGTCTACAGATCCCACTGTTAAATATATTCAGACGCCCTAAATTGGTTCTGCTCATCCTTCCCACTGTGACAATAATTTTTGGTGCTCTCACGCTAACACTGATCGG